TGGTCCGTCTGATGAAAAAAAAAAAGGTTGAGTACAGTATTTTGCCATTAGTTTTTTTTATTACAGTATTAGTTGTTGTTAATGTCTAATTGTGCTATTACAACAAAGGTAGAGAATATAAGAACTCTGAAAACCTATACTATTTGCATATCAGACTGAACCCATCCATAAAGCGGGTCCAGAACTGAAATGCTGGCGAGTCCTCTCTGCACAAGAGATACAGTACCACCGATTGATCGTTTTGGCCTACTTCAAAATTATAAATTAAATGTCATCATCTGGTATATACTGTATACAGTATTGTACATGATAAAGTTTAATTTAGAAACTTGTATACGTAGTGTTTGCCTTTATCAAACATCCGCTGGGGGCTTCAAAACTATCCCATGCGGATACAAGGGTCCTATTGTACTGATGAATGCTGGTCTGTTTCCATCTATAGCTGCAACAAAGTGTGTCTGAAACATTCCTACTTGGGAGTAAACTTTTTTTACTGTTACTCCATTTCTCCCCTTCTATGGTCACATATCATGTGATATGTGAATAAAATCAACATTGAGTGGCTGTCCCCCAACCATCGTCTTTTTTTCCACCTTAAGACGACCCGCTGATCAGACTAAATTCTGACTAATTGTAATCTGTCTAAAAAAGGAATGAACAATTCCAAAATGCAGTTTTCCAGGCTACACAAAAACTAAAAATCAAGTTTGTAAATATTCCACTTTGGTAAATGACAGAACTTTTTTTTTTTTCTTTTAACTTTTTTTTTACCACCACACATTATGGAGCTTACACACTAAATAGTTAGTTTTAGTGTCTGGGCAGCTATGTTTGGGAGGGATTAGGGGATATAGGTAGTTTCACCTATTGTGTTATTAAAACACTTTCATTCCAACGAGCAACACATGAGCAACACACGATACTCACTGAATAGATATGACCCCCACCAGCGTAATGTCGTTGGGGTTTGGAAAGGATAAGTTTCTGCAATTGGGTAGATAGTATTCAACTTAATTCCCATATTTATTTATTTCAAAGTCCCTCTTGTATGTAAGTAAAAAATAATTATACTTTCTGCATGGTCCTATTGCTTGCTGCACAGTGAGAGCCAGTTTACTGGTGTCTCCAAATGCATGACACCAGGGAACTAAATCAGGATATTCAGGGCCGCCATCAGAAATTATGGGGCCCCTAACACAGCTCAAGGTCTGGGCCCCCAGGTGCCCGCCTCCAAATCCCGCCTACAGGAATACACACACACAGACACAAAAGGACACAGACACACACACACAGAAAGATACACACATACTAACAGACACAAATACTGAAACAGACATACACACATACAGGCATACTGACAGACACATACTGAAACATACACACACACATATACAGACACATACACATGCATAAGCAGACACAGATACACACACACACACACTGACGTACACACATACTCACATACTGACACACACACATACATACATACAGACAAACTGACATACATACATATAAATACATACTGACATACCTACATACATACATAATGGCATACATACTGATACACATACATACATACATACACACACACACACACATACAGATAGATATACACATATACATACAGACATACAGACATACATGCATACTGACATACATACATAGTGATAGATATATACATATATACACACATACATACTGACATATACATACTGACATATATACATACTGACATACACACACACACACATACAGATAGACACATACACACATACATACTGACATACACACACACATACATACTGACATACATACACACATACATACTGATATATATATATACACACACATACATGCATACTGACATACATACATACATACTGATAGATATATACATACATACATACTGACATACACACACACACACACACACACACACACAGAGAGAGAGACATACACACACAGAGACATACATACTGAGAAACAGACATATATACATGCAGACACATACACACACCTCATTTCTCAGCCACCCTCCTCTTCCTTACCTTTTCGTTGCAGGAGGGTGGCTGGTGGCTGGGGATGATGGGAACGGATGCTTCTTCTCTCCTCTCCTCGGCTGTCTCTCCCCCCGCGCGGAGTAAGCTGGGAGTAATTAACCGGCCGTCACTTCCTCCCTGCAGCACTTGCGGTTCCCTTAAGATATAGGGCTCATGCTAAATGCTTGGGCCACCTGATGGGCCCTGGTTCAGATGCACCTGCGGCAGTTTCGCCGCTCCACGTGGGGCCCAGGCAGCCAGGCCCCCCACGGCCACCGGGCCCGTGACAACTGTCATGGTTGTCACTCCCTGATGGCGGCCCTGAGGATATTGGGATAGAACAACAAAACGTGGACTTTGTGTCAAAAGCGGGACAATCAGGAGTCCAGCCAGTGTGATTAGTGTAAAGTTGTTCTTTGGTGTTCCAGATGTGGAACCTGGTGGGATATGAACCAAACTTCAGGAGGGAACACCTGAGACACATGCTCAAGAGTCAAAACAGTAAATCGTGTCATTTACCATAATAACAATGTAACCCCTTAAGGACCATACTTCAACACAAGCAATTGCGCTACATGTGCATTCAACTTTCACAACCATCTTTCTCATTTATTGCAACAACACATATTACATATCATTTTTTAAAGGGCAAAAAAGGCTTTAATTTAATGTATCATATACATATTGAAAATTCTGCAGTGTGGAACAATTTTAGAATTTGGTATTTTGTCTCCCAAGTTAAATAGCCATCACAGAAAGCTAAATGGCCATGCAAAAGTATTTATTTTTTTAATTAGTATACATCTATATTTCCTCTTTATAAAACATTTTTCTGTGGCCTCTTTATAAAACATTTTTTTGTGGCATTCTGGCGCTGACTCCTATCTTGACCTTTTTTTAAATCTATATTTACCTAAGAATATTTGGCACTTTTTACATAGCTATTTAACTGCCAATCTGTGCTAAATGTTGTGTTGTTTTTTTCCTCCAGATTTTTAGCATACATACATATGACATGGTTGCTTCCTAAAGCTGATGTGTGCTACTTCTGTTCAAAACCCAACATTGTGTTCAGCTAAATCTTCTGAGTACAACAGTACTCCCAGTGTGTGCCTTTGACGCTATCATGTAAAGCTCCAGTGTCATATAAAGCCTGACCATTTCAGTTTTCACTATTCAACTTTATATAAATGGTTTTAATGGGCCTATGTCAATGTCTCATTTTGGGGCATTGTATCAGCCATTTTAGCACAAATTTCTTAACATTTTACAGCATTGTGTTTTCTCTTTTTTTTTACATGCACATTGTAATTTAGCAGTTTATTTTGCAAAAGTAATGTGTGTTACTGTATAAGTCACTAAATTATGCTCAGCTGATTTCCCCCCTTCATATACCCTTCTTAAGTGTTCATGAAAATACAGAGCTGAATTTCTAACCTGCCAAGTGCAATTGGAAAAGGAAATGGCATATTTAATATGGTGCATTTGGGTCACACAAAGAAAAGGATATTGCACTCTCGCATCAGAATCCAGGCGCTCCAAGCCCAGGGTTGGCAGTTTAGTAGATATGAAGTAAATCCAGGCACTCAGGATCTTGCAAAGGGAAGCTTTATTAGAACAGAAAGAGGGGCAACGTTTTGGCCTGCGCAGAGACCTTTGTTAAGCTTGGAGATTTTGGGACTCTCACATTATATATTTTGAGCTTTATGTAGATGTCTTTCAAGTATGATTTTTTTTTTTTTTTTTACATACACATTGCATTTTTGTTGCTTATGTTTTAAATATCATAGAAAAGAAAAAGTTACCTGTGCTCTCTCCTTAATCCCTATGTATATTTAGACAAATGGAGGGAATGCCCGCCTGCCAACGTCAAGGCAGACCCCCCTAAGCTGGTCCTAACACTGACCCTTCAGCCTGCTTCCATGAGCTTCTGGATATCTCTAATGAGACAGAGAGGGGTATTTTTTATATACACCCCTATATACTTATTAACCCTTAATAGGGAGCACATGGGATGGGTGGCAGCATTGTAACAAGGCTGTGTGATACAAAGTAAATACAAAAAGAGAAGTCCTGCGCTCACTCCCATCACTACTGGGCCGGCAGCAATGACTACAGTACACATCAGCCCCAATATTTAGTAAAAACCAAAGAAAAGAAAAAGCTACCTGCGCTCTCTCCTTAATCCCTATGTATATTTAGACAAATGGAGGTCATTTAGTTGCTCCAATGGCCATGTTTGCCACTGTAGTAAAAATTCCTTCTTAGATAAACTCAGCAACATCTCCTGAGTACAATACCCCATATTTGTCATGTACTTCACCAATGTGATGTTTCTTTAATGAATCTTGTATTTAGTAGATGTACTGTTCCAGTAAGAAAACTCGACAATATCACGTAACGTCAAACTATGTAATTGGATACCACCAGACTTTTCTTGCGCTAATAATTGTCGCATCACCTAACGTGCCATTGTCTCCTTCACCTCTTTGCTTTTTTTCAGGAATTACCTTCACGAGCCCCACCGCAGCTACTAAATCATCCAATAATGCAATCTCTTTTCCATAATACCTCCTCCTATTTGCTATATTAACAAACATCAAACTCCTCTCTACTGTTGTTACTTGGGACTTCTATACAGATATCTGACCTCGGTTTACCTGAACTTCCCCATCTGGGATCACGTATGGGACAATACATCTGTCTTATTGCTTTACCAGTATCTAAACTCAGATTCTTTCACCTGGACTCCCCCATCTTGGATAACATATAAGGCAAAATGCCATCCTTATTGGATTACCAGTATATGACCTCAGATTATTTTCACGGCTTACGTGTTTGACAAGATGTTGTCAGGAATCTTACCTGAGATGGGAGTCTGTAACAAAGATATGTTGCTCACCCTTGCAAATAGACCAGATAGGAAACCACCTGGACTGTGAATCTGTGCACAGGGGCTGTGCAGGATAAAGCTTCAAGTCGCAGTACAGGCAAGGACACAAACAGCAGGATAGTCAAGGGATAACTGAAGTCAAAGGATGCCAGAGGCCAGGATCAACAAAGTGTAGCCGAAGTCAAGGGATGCCAGAGGTCAGGATTAAAGAAGTCAGAAGCTGGGGTCAATATGAAGTAGAACACTGGAACGGAACACACACAACAGGATCAAAGACTTGATCCAGTTCACAGGGCGAGGCTGTGTTTATATACCCTACTGATGTCTGATCGTGGTCAGGTGAAGAACAGCAATGGTCAAAGTACTGGAATAGCTTGCAAAAAACAAAACTTCTGTGGCTCAAAGGTATAATGCAGGCCTAGAACCGGAAAGTTCCCAGGTTAAAATCCCCTGTTGGGCCCTTCTGGGGCAACCATTTCTGGATGTCATGGTGAGAACCCTGATGCCCTCTTTATGTATTTTACTGGTGTCGATTTAAGGACTTTGGTTTTATCTGCACTCTTTGGAATTGATGCCACCCAACCACTACTTCAACACCTGACCTCGGATTTGTTGAAGACCTTGTCTGATATCACTAAGCTGCAATGAAACCTGCAGGATTACAAATCTTCATTTTTCTGAGAAGAGATCTACAAGTTTTATTCACAGTAGGAATTATCCACTAAAACGTTATTTACTTACCTGGAATAATGGAATAATCTTTTTTGACTCTCCATCTTGAACTCTTGACTGTTCTTTCTATAATTTGTGTGTGTGTGTAAATATAGAATATATCTTGGGTATATTTTACAACAAATTAAAATTTGTATCTAAACATTTCCATAGATACTTATTGGCTGAAGATAGGTTACATGAAAGTAATTAATGATAGCTGGGGTTCTCCTGTTTCCAGCCTGTTGTTAAAATACCACATGACAGAATTATTCCGTCATGGGTCCTAAGCCATGATGTAATAATTCCATCACTGGTCCTTAAGGGGTTAATTCACTTGGATCCACGACACTTTGAATTAGAGAAGATTGTAAGCTTCTTTGAGCTGGGCCTTCTCCAACTCTGTCAACATTATTTGTGTATGTCAATTACTCATTGCTAGATATCGCCATTCTATGATTGTAAAGCGCTGTAATAAATGTTGGTGCTACGTGAATACAAATGATATTAATAAGTAAAATATAACAAGGATTAATTTGACAGATACAAACTGGCCCAGAGAGTCCTACTCCCATTAATAAAATAAGAAACATAATGAGACCAGTGGAACAAACCAAGTAGAATAGGTGTAATGACAGCTAACCCTATGCAACTTCACATGCGTCTCTATCAGTCTTCAACAAGTTTGAACATTTTAATGTGCAAACTACTGCTCAATCCACTAGGTGGCATACTCCTGCCTTCCAAGTCAAAGCAGGCTTTGTATCAAAAGGACAGGCAGGTTCAGGTGGATCAGTCACACCTAACATTATGTAACAAGTAAACCTTGAAAGCAGAACTCGAGCTGGTGAGGTCATCTCACGTGCTGGGTGTGCATACTGATAACTGAACACACCCATTCTAGATTTTTTCATTGAATGAAAAAGGAAAGTTAGACTTGGCAAATGGAAAAAGTATCTACACTTTAGGAAACAATGATGTAATAAGAATAGTTTCCACTGTCATATGGCACTAAGATTGTGTTACATGCTCACCTGACATTTATAGTATTGATAAGAACTACCTGTATGTCAACCTTGGCAAACAGTGTGATGTAATAATATGCTCATTCAGAATAAAGTAAAAGGATCGGCACACAAGTAAGACATGACTAAGACATATATTTTGGTATATTTAATGCTTATGCAATGTAATGGTTTGAGGTGAGTACATTTCTGATGGCTGTATTATTGTGTTTACAAATTGAATTTCTTTAACCCCTTATGGACACATGACATGTGTGACATGTCATGATTCCCTTTTATTCCAGAAGCTTGGTCCTTAAGGGGTTAAATGTGCCTCAAAAACCTTAAAACCCCCCAATTATTTTCCAGGATTTGTAATATCATGTTTGAGTGTCATTATATTTACCAAATATTTATTTGAGGTCTGAAAAACTAATTTAAATGTAGAAATGTACACTATTTTATTCTGCAACTCTGTGCCTCCATTGTAGCTCCCTGTCAATCATTGTTCTAAACTCTGTCTTATGCACCAGGCAGTCAGCCGAGGAGAAACATACAGAGCAATACATCACAAGCAATATTTGTCCTGGCTTTGCCTGATCTGAACTGGATTATGACGCCATTTGTTAAACATTGTATATAAACTTAAATGAAGATGGAACATCTCCTAAAAGAAAGTTAGAGTGATTTTCAATATTTTATTTAGTGGTGTAAATTACAGAGAAGTGACAGTTCTCTTGTTAAAGGGTTGCTGCACTTCCCAAAACAAGACGAAAGTGCCATGATTTCTGTATCAATATTGACAGACTCCTTCCCTACATCTTTCTGTTTTGGACTAAACTTTATTATTGTCACAACTTTAAAAAAGGGAGAAATACAAAAGGGGCACTAGAAAACAATCACCATGAACACCAGAGGTCCACACAGGTCCAACAATTCTATCACACTTTAACCCCTTAAGGATGGCAAGAGTGCTATCCTCACAATCCTAGCCACTCACCTGTTTGGCGCTGACCCCCTGCTAGAGATAGTGGTGGGGGACTTTCCTGACAATCCAGGCAGTCCCCTCTTGGCTAATCCAGCCTTTCTGGGCAAGGGTTAACTAGGCAAGCAAGGGTTAACTGAGGAATCCAAGGCAGGATTAGGCAGGCAAGAGTTAACTCAGGAATCCAAGGCAGAGGAGGCTTGTAACCTCAAGGGAGTTTACAACTGAGCAAAGAACAAAGAGTGACCTGGATTTAAACAGGGGAGAGGGAGCTCATCCATGAGAAGGGGTATAGGGGCCTATTTAAGTAAATGGCCACCTTTGTTGAGTAAATCGCCACTCCTTCTTTGTGGGAGGGATGCTATGTTGGATTTCCGGTTCATCCTGCTCTTCCACATGCTGCTACCATGGCTGGTGCGCCTTCCATTCTAATCAATAATTCCTCAACCTCTGACATTTTCATCAGAAGATCAATCCCTGTTATCACAGCAAACCAAAAATGTATCCCTAAACGGAACAATAATCTCAGCTCCTTGAGATGTCCCAAGGTTGCGAGCCAATCTTTTCCTGCTAAAAATGAAATATTTAGGATTCAGACCAGTAATACATTTAAGTCTCCTAAATTCTTTTGTAAAACATCAGCATTTCAAAAAGGGAAGGGATACATTTTCTTTGTGATCTTCTTTTCCAATTTGATTGGATGAAAAAGATTGATTTGAAAGCTGCCTTTTTAACAATACTGATACATGCATCTCACCAACATTATCTACAATTCCTATGACAACCGCAAAAATGGCAACTTACTTGCCTCCCTTTTGGTCTTTCCTCAGCCCCTTGGTGTTTCACCTAACTATTGCAACCAGTGACTACCTTACTTCAAAGTAGAGGAGTGAGGTTGATTATATATCTAGACGATAAACTTATGATGTCCCAACACGTACACCAATGACTCATCGACCTGGATTGGACACATACCCTCTTTTCAGATTTAGGCTTTATCATCAATCATAAATCTATTCTCAATTCTACTCAGACCATAGAATTTCTGGGTTTTCTAGTGGATTTCAGATCAGCCTTCTTCTGTCCACCATATTGGATACTCAAGTCTATCTGAAAGGAAATCCAGACTCTCTTGAGGAAAGATTTGGTTTCCCTAGGCTTGTTGGCTCAGATGGTGTGTTTTTAAGCCTCATCAATTTAAGCCTTTTTCCCAGCACCATTACAACACTTAAAAGCAGCACACTTTTCAGACTGTTTAGGCTACTCAGACAAGATTATCCATGATTCCGAATCTAGAAAAAAACTTCTTGGTTGCTCCAAAATATTCAAGCATAGATTGGGAAAGCCATATTTGGATCCCTTCCAGGTTTAATCATCAAGTCCGACGCAAGTCATATGGGTTGGTCAACTCTGAGCAGTTCATCCTCCATTAGAGGAAAGTGATCCTTAGACAAGACTGCTTTTAAACATAAGTTGCCTAGAACTGTTAGCGAGTTTCTTTCCTTTGAAGTGTTTCACAAAGAATCAGATGAATTGTTGTATCCTTCTAAAGATGGAGAACATTTCAGCAGTACAATTTTCAGGAGAACAAAGTACAAACCCTTTGCAGATCTAGCCAAAAATGTTGGCACTTTTGTTTAGATATACCCTTAAGCAGAGTATCTTCTGGGCCTGTCCAATGTGGTTCCTGACTGGAACTCCAGGTTCCTAACTGATTACAGAGATTGGAAACTGGATTGCCCGATTTTTCTCCATCTCGATCGTTTTTGGGGTCCTCACCAAATTGATTTGTTTGTGTCACATCTCAATCATCGTCTACCATGGTTCAGTTGACGTCTAGATCCAGAGGCCTGTGGTTTAGATACATTCCTACCAGACTCTAGGGATGATTTATGTATGTCCCCCATTCATTATGATTTCTAAAGTTTTATCTCAAATACTCAGACAGTGATCCACTATTCTTTTGTTAATCCCATGATGGACAACTCAACCATGGTTTCCACAACTGTTGGGAATATTGATAGATATCCCCAGAATGCTCCCAATGTTCAAAAATGTTTTGACAGATTACTAGGAGAATTCTCCTTCTCAAATTCTGTCCAAACAACTTGAATTTCAGGTTGTCCAAGATTTATTGTGAAATTTCAAATATCACTAAAGACATAATGTCAGATGCCTGGCATTGATGACATATATCACTCTCCAGAAACCTTCCCATCCCAGATATAACGAAACATGAGGCTTGGGGTAACAATGATTTGTTATCTATTACATTCCTTTATTTTAACTGACCATTCTACTTTGTTTAATATCTTTTAAAATCTGGATTTTATTAAAGACAGTAGGCAAGTATTATTTCCTCCCTACCTTAAGAAATCCCTTTTGTCGCTTTGTTTTTTGTTTGTTTTGTTTTTACACAGTTGAACCTGGATAATATTCAACAGATATTCCTACTTTTCCCATTTTTCTTCTTATTAAGTTTCTACATGCATAGGCGTGCGGAGCCAATTGCGTAAGGGTGTGCAGCCTAAAGCACAAACACAATCGCTGTATATATATATATATATGTAAATCGATGAATGGA